TACTCTTGAAATCGCATATTTAATTAGTTTCCCTTGACAATGGCGCCAAGATGTCGCCGAAACGTCGGATTTATCTATCGTTAGTTTTTGCCTGTATACACTTGCATATTGCCGGTGAAATTCAGGATCCCTTTCCATCTTCTTTCTCAACCAGTGCAGTCTCTTCTTCGCTACTGGGAGACTGTCGGGAAGACAGGGGGGATTGTGTCGAAATGGCAGCTTGAGTTGATAGTGGCCATTGACGAGGACCACTGATTCATCTATAATCTGCTTCGCTCTTCGGTCCTCAAGTGACAAACTCTCTTCAACATCCATGACGGTATCCTTGAACTCGGTATTGTACAAATGCTCCAGCTGCATACTTAGTGTCTCTTCATGATCACTTCTAATGAGATTGATGTGGACACCATCACCGTTAGGTTCACCCATTGGGCCATACACTGTCCATCCTAAGGGAGTTTTCACAGCATAGGGCTGGCCTCTATCTCCTCTCCTGATCTCTGAATTGTCATCGATAATATCTGGTCGGTCACTGCCAATAAGAATCGAAACACTATGCTTCTCTATTTCAGGAAGACTGACGCCATCAAGATGTGGCCATTTTCTCAGTTCTCTATTGCTGGCAAAGTGCCTCTCGCCAATGGGTAGGCTCTCCGTCGTCAGAACCTGATCAAGAGTAAACTTTGTTTGTCCGTCAAGTGCTCCTATATCTAGGCGGGTTCGATGGTAATGTTCCTTTCCTTCATAATTGACCGTTGAAAGGGTGAAATCAGTGGGTTTGCTTTCAAGGCTCAATTCTTCTAGCAGACTTCTTAAGCAGAGTGTAGTGTCCGACCCACTGTCACTGGCGTACGTGGCAAGCTGTTTATTGCTACCTGGCCCACTGACTCTTACTGGCACGACCTTGAAGCAGACCCTTAGTCTATTACTCGCTGTGGGTTCCACTGGAATGGAATCTCTGGATACTGCAAATGTGCTTGATTCAGTAACTGGGGAGGGGTTGGACTCAGTGACGGTTGAGGCTGTTCCACCAACCGAATTCTGGTCTTGAATAATGGGTTGCTGATTGGCGCTGTCTTGTTTTACTTCAGGTCCAATGGTCCCTCCGCTCTCACGAGGGTGAAGAAGTGAATGATGCTTCCTTCCACATCCTGGCTTCCGACAAGAATATCCCTTTGGGCAAGATTGCGAGAAGTGACCATGTCCAAGGCAACTACCACAGAGTTTCTTCTGTTGTACCGTTCGCAATCGATCTTCATGAGATGAATTTCTAAAAACCTCGCAATGCCAAATCGCATGAGGTCCAGAGCATTGATAGCACTTTAAGGTGGCTGATCCAGTATCGGTGGGTTTTCTGCTTCCCTTGCCCTGAGTAGTTAGGGTCGTGGCATTAATTGGAGGATCTTGTTTCCCTCTGTTTCCATATCTTTTTTCTTTCTCTTTTTGAAGCGGCGGTGACTTCAATTCCTGTCCAAAACGGTTGTTTAAGCGATCAGCTCGTTTCTGAATGAAGTTCAGAAAATCATAAAAGTCAAGATGTCCTTTAGAACAAATCATGTCCCCTGCGACGTCTGTCCATTCTAGCTTCAAGTCTTCATCAGGCAGCTTCTTCATAAGCATAAGAATTGTATCCTCATTGTTGAGGCGGCTTACATAAAGTGGTCCCATACTTGTTAAAACCCGCTTCGTATCTTGAAGTCTTCTCGCAAAGTCCATGAGGTTGGTGGCATCGACTCTTCTCAGGTTGTACTCCCTCAACTTTCTCATATGAGCATCAGCCACCATGTGAGGCTGTCCAAAGTTCTTCAACAGGGTTTTCCAGGCTGCATTGTATCTCTGACCAACAGGAAGGTTAACACAACTTTTGATAGCATCTCTCGCCTTTCCAACACACTGAGCAAGTAAGCGAGTAAGTCTTTGTGAGTCATCAGACACCTGGCTTTCAATATTGTCACGGAAATTGGCAACAGACTCACCATGCTCAGACGGATCTCCTCCAAACTTCATCAACTCTATTTTCGGAAGAGTGGGACCTTGTTTAAGTCCATCTGCGATGGCTTGCCAGGGAGCCTCGTCTGGTTGTGATTCGGCCAACTGAAGTTGCGGCACTTGGCGAACTGACTGCTGGGTGAGATACTGAAGTGTTTCCAACAATACCTGCTCAAGCTGGGTATGACTTGGTTTAGGGGGTGACTGAGGTGTTGACGATACATCTTGCTGGGGAGTACGCTGTTCACTTTGGCACCTTTCTGTAGGAAATGTCTGCTCTTTGGTGGCGGTTGGGGAACTTGTTGCCCTTGGCATATTTACACTCGGTGTGATATCATTTGCATCTGCCTTTGAAGAAATCCCTTGCTTTGTGTCTTTCCGCTGAGAAGCAGGAGTAGGTAGTGGTATGTACTGAGGCGATATACCATCTTTAGAGATAACCGATGCTGACGACACCTCATGATCAACTTTCAAAGCCTCGGACTTAACATTCTGAGCATCAAATAGAGGATCCACAGGCAAGAATACGTTTGATGGTAAGCTAACAGGAGCGGGTGATGTATGAGAGCCCAACTCTAAGGGTAATGCTGGAATTATATCACTTGCCAAAGTTTCATTGTCGGAGTGGTCGTTTTGCAATTCTTCTTGCTCAATCTCAAGATCAACAGCAGCCTTCTTGAATTCCATTTCTGCCTGCATCCTTTCGATCTTCCTTGCCAACTCAGTCTTGCTTCGTTCTCTGTCTTCAGCAATTTCAAGTTCTCTCCTCTTAAAGTCAACTTCTTCTTCTTCTAAACGACCCTCAAGGCTCTGTTTTCGCTCTAGCGCGTCCACTTTTAGTCGTGCTTCTTCAAGTATTCTCCGCTTGCCTCTCACACTACTCCTACTGGAATTTAAACTTCTCCCAGTCTTACTTGATTGACGTGATTTGTGAACTGATCTTAACATTCCCTTCGTATTGTGTTTCATCTTTAATTTCCACGTGTTGAGCTCAACGTCGAAGAGAAATTTGTTCTCCTTTTCCTTCTCGTAACTTTCGTTGGGCGTATTTACCATTTCTTCGTTGTCTTCAAACTTCAAGTAAGTCTCGTGAGCATCGACAAATCTGCGTAAAGCACGCTCGTAATCGTCTACACCTTGAATCACTTCTCCTTCGCTCGCATGTTCGGAGATAAGCCTTTGAAGAAATCTCAACCTCTTTCTTAGGTCTCCTAAGTGTTCTGCCGTTTTCGCCTGTAGATCGATCGCCCTTTCACTTCGAACATCTTCTGAATCCATAAAATTCGACGGCACTTTCTGTCTCGTAGTGCGAACAAATTCCAGGGGACCCGCAGTTTCGGATCGCGCAACATGATGCAAGCTTGTAGTTTCGATGCGAAGATCTTCGCTCGGCGATAATTCCTGTTGAAGCGACGTACGTCTCGCCTCATCTGACATCTCATGAACAATCTACGCCAAGAAAAACTTTGAATGATGTAGGAACCCATTGTTCGCTACTGAACTGCGGTAACAAGGATAATATTTGAGATACGCTGAACTTGACTTTTATTTACACGAACGAGCGATTCACTGAAATGGAAACACATGAATCCGCTGAATAAGCAAAATAGAAGACCAAAATACCACCGATGAGAAACTTAAGTAAAAACCGATCGATACTTACAAGGTTTTCGTGCCTTGTTCCGCAATAAACCAAGAAAAACATCATTGAACAATAAACAAACTTCTTAACGAAAAACCATGTGCTCTTCCTAAACTTGATACCTAGTAGCGACTACGATACATATGATCGGCTTGAATTAAATGAATCTTAGTCATTCCAGCCACAATGGTAAAAAATCCCACAACTTCTATCCTTTTGAAAATGCGTTGCTGTTGCCCCCTTCCCCATCCAATGCAATATTGAACCTCAAGAGAAATTGTCTTCAACAAACGTGTTGAACATTTTGGCTCGTGGGGAGAGGCTGAACAAGTGAAATTGCATTCGCGCGCGACTGGTAGTTTAAGCTGTGAAAAAGATCCACAAGTGCAAATTTGTCCCAAGATTTTTGTCCATGATTGTAGAATGGATCATATAATTTTCCGAGTTCTCGGAAAATTTGCCCTTGTCTGTTTTGTCTTTGTATGTCAAATTTGTCTTTGCCTATTTTGCGATCAAGAAATATCAAGCGGCGGCGTTTAACTACCAATTCTAGTATTCTGGCTAGAGAATTAGAAACAAACAAACAAACAAACGGATGCTTCAACGTAAATAGAAGTAACTGAAGGTGAAACCTGCGTGTGGAGTGAGGTGAATTGAAGAGAAGAAAACAGGAGGAAAAAATATTGCACATTGCAGTGATGGGAGGGAGAAAAATCCTTTCTGTTGTTCCATATTGACCATTTCTGCACTTGTACCGTAATAAAGTGAACAAAATCAACTGACTTGGAAATCAGCCTTAACGTGTAACAAAGAAATTACCAAGACCTTCGTCCGATACTGATATCTAGGAACATAAGCTTTTGAGTATGATTAGTTTTAATTTGAGAATTTTCACAACGTCACAGGAAAGCCAAAAACGAAAAAGGGAGTCTCTCGGGGGACTATTGCTTTTGGGGTTCAAAAGGAACGTTCTTTCGGGGAGCTGTTATTTTCAGAGGGACCATTACTTTCGGAATTCTGCGGTATATGTATTTCGAAATTAAAATGGAAGGAGCAGGGATCGGAACGGCTATCTATTACTTTGGAAAGACACTGAAAACGTTCTAGTCCTGAACAAAAAAGAGAAGAACATACAAATATAAAACCACTGTTAAAATTAAATCTGCCAAGTTTGGCTAGGTTTATCCTGCATGTCAGTGGAACTGTAAATATTTTTAACTAAAACACTCACATATGCTCATAACTTCTCAACAAATACACAGCTTTCGCGCTCTAATTATTGACTACAGGTAAATGTCGGAACCGCTTTGAAAACAACGCCTTTCAAAACAATTTTTGAGAATGTGATTATAATTCAACACCTGTTATGAGCACAGTTCTTATTTGAATAAAAAGTAATATTNGCAGGGATCGGAACGGCTATCTATTGCTTTGGAAAGACACTGAAAACGTTCTACTCCTGAACAAAAAAGAGAAGAACAAACAAATATAAAACCATTGTTAAAATTAAGTCTGCTAAGTTTGGCTAGGTTTATCCTGCATGTCAGGGGAATTGTAAATATTTTTATTTTAAATAAAACACTCACATATGCTCATAACTTCTCAACCTATACACAGCTTTCGCGCTCTACAGGTAAATGTCGGAACCGCTTTGAAAACAACGCCTTTCAAAACAATTTTTGAGAATGTGATAATAATTCAACACCTGTTATGAGCACAGTTCTTATTTGAATAAAAAGTAATATTAAATGTTTTGTTTACGTCGTCAGTAACGATACAATTGTTTCACGCAAGGTAACATATGTTGGCATATGGCTTTTAGTGTTTAAAAGCACAATATACTAGTTTGCCGGTAAGACTGTGTTTAAAACATAGGCTAAAACAAGATCTAAGAAGATCATTTAAAATTTATTGTGAATACCTTACACGTATCGCTGAGTATAAACTGTCTTCCTTATTTATCAAGGCTAAACTCCAGAATACCCGGCCACTTATTAGCATCTCATTGAATAAGAATAACAACTATTGTTATATACCTCGTTCTTCAAAGCACACCAACACATGTAAATAAAGTGGCCGAGTATTCTGAAGATGCTTATCAATAAAAGTGACACTGTAGTGAAAGTACTTCCGAATAGGTATTACCAACACGGTTATCATTTAAAGTTTTCGGCCTGTTTCATTTTTCATAGCAGCGCCCGTTACATTCAATTACTGTTGAATAAATTTATTTTCCCAAATCAGTTTGAGATGGGTTATAATTTGTCAGAGAAGCAAATATTACAATCGTGGCGAACTGAATAAGAGACGGTGATTTTATTCACCAGGAAAACTCAAAAGAAAAATGTTTTGAATAAGGTAACATAAATTGGGTTTCCGCCGAATGTTGTTTTACGCCGCCAAGTTTCAGTTTGGCGAAGAATCGAACAGCAAGTGGTCTGATAATTCAGCAAATATTTTATTAGAAACTGCCTTTAGTTCTTTTTTCAAAGCTAATCAGTTTCGACATCTTATTTTTCCCCAAAATTAAAAGCTACGCACCCATATATATTGTTCGGATAAAACGGCAAGTTGTATTCATGAATTAAATTTTAGCTAGTGTCAGTTAAAAATCCCGCAAAAATTTTCAAACGAAATAAAGTAACCAGTTTCATTGTTTGGCCCGTCTCACTTTCCCCCCAAATATTTATTCAACTTGCCTTAAAAACACGGACATATTGCGTGCTTTCAGTAAAACGCTAATAACAGAAATGTACCGACAAAGAAACTAAAAATGCCTGCCGCATACAAGCAACATCGAGAGGTTCTTTTCAAACTACAAAACCGCTCAAAACTAATAAGATAAAAATACTCTCCACGCAAAAATGATTTAAAAATTAGAATGTCGGAAACCTTTCAACGCGTTTTGAAAGAATTATTAAGAAGGTTGTTAACAAAACAATTATTGGCAACTGTTTCATAATCAGTACGAGTAAAAATATTGTCAATAAGTTTATAGCACCGGAAACCTTTTAAAACAAAGATATCATGAGCTATCAAAACAAAACCATTTGTTACTTTCCTGATGTTCTTAAACATTTTCACATAATCCAAAGGCGACAGCTTACTCTAGGAATTCGGTCTTTGACAACAGTTCTCG